TTGGAAGGGGGACCCACGTCTCCTCTTCGGGCTGAGCCCGGCCGGGCTCCGTGGGTGAAAGCCCAGCCACCAGGCGCTTGCCATCGTGCCCCACCTCCAGGTCTGGCTCCAGAGGGGGGCCCCGGTGACCTGCGTCCGGGCGAGGGAACGTCTGATCCAATGTTTTCTTGCATCATAAGAGGTCTTGGGGCTGTGCTTTGTCTGGTTCCTCACCTAGGACCTGTCTGCCTTGGGTGACCCTTCCAGGGGCATAAAGCCCCAGACAGCATAGCTCCTAGGATCACTGGGACACTCAAACCCCTCCACCACGATAAGGTAGCAGCCCAGGGAGAGGAGTATTATGACACATCTTCTGTAAAATGTTCATTTCTCTTTAACCAACAGGAGAAACACAAGATAAGCTGAATCAGTTCAAAAGAATGAATAACAAACAAAAAATATGTTTTAGACTTCAGAACATAAATTAAAATATTAATATTATATTAAAATTAAGTTTGGAGAGTTTGTTTAAAAAGTCAGGGACATTTTCTTGAGTTTTCTTTTCACAATAAAAGCCAGAAAACAATAAGGGTTCTGCCAAGTAATTTCACTTACTTAATCTTTTCTCCACATTTCTYAGTCAGCGCTGCTGTTTTCCTTCACTAAACCCTGAAGTTCAGTTAAAAACACGATGACTGATCCTCCAGAGATGGAGGAGAGGTCCAGTCATGTCTGAGTCATCTTCTTCTGCTTCTGTAAAAAAAAACATCCATCAGGTTAAAAAAAAAATCTAGTAAAAAAACAGCCCAACGTGATGTAAAAACAACAAATAAGTTTATTTATCTGCTGAATCCTCCCTCAGTTRTCTGCTGTAACTTTCCATTCCAGGAAGAAATATAAATCTGCAGCTCAGGAATTTATCCACTAACTGTGAACATCTGAGTCTTCAGCAGGTCCAGGGTCAGAGGTCAGAGCTGATAGGAGACTCAGAACCGGGTTTAGGTTCTGCTGGGACCTCCTTCAGAACCACAGATTAAATGAGGACTCGGGTCGGTACGGAGACCTGAGCTCACCTGACCGGTCCGATTTGATCCGCCGAGTCACATTTAGATCACAACAAGTCACATAAAAGGGCTAAAAGTCCTTTCAAAATAAAACATTTCTTTCAGCTTCATCTTCACTTGTGCTCTGATACATTTAAAGGATGGTGACTAATTTAATGTAAAGTTATTATAACTTTTTTCTCTTTAATCAAACTAAATATTTGAGCAGATTTATTTGTATTTTACAACGGAGTATTAGGGACACACAACAAGATTTTTTTAGTTATTATGAGATTAAAGTCGTAATTTTCTGAGAATAAAGTAATAAATAAATCTTGCATGTCCATTTTCCGTTCCTCACACCTGCTGTACAGCCATGTGTGTCTGTGTTTACGACTCTCTCGTAATATTATGACTTTAATCTCGTAAATTACGACTTTATTCTCATATGACTTTATTTTTATACAATTTTAATGCCATAATATTATGACTTTAATCTCATAAATTACGACTTTATTCTCATATGACTTTATTTTTATACAATTTTAATGCCATAATATTATGACTTTAATCTCATAAATTACGACTTTATTCTCATATGACTTTATTTTTATACAATTTTAATGCCATAATATTATGACTTTAATCTCATAAATTACGACTTTATTCTCATATGACTTTATTTTTATACAATTTTAATGCCATAATATTATGACTTTAATCTCATAAATTACGACTTTATTCTCATATGACTTTATTTTTATACAATTTTAATGCCATAATATTATGACTTTAATCTCATAAATTACGACTTTATTCT